CCGAGAGGCAGCAGGAGCCTGAGCCTCAGGAGACAGAGCTGGGACTGCCAGGACCCGGATGCTGTCTGTGCTGTATGGGAAACCTCGGTGAGAAGGACATCATTTCACTTAATAGCAATGCTTGCCAATCGTCAAGATTGGGAAGGGAAAGAAAGGGGTGGAATAGAAGCTTCCAAGGCCGGGGGGGAATACAAAGCGGAGTAGATGGGTTGGCAGTCAGACCTCGGTCAGGCCTCCCTTTGCAAACAGCACTGACAAAACACAGGCTTGATTCAGAGATCCAGTCACGCAGGAGGCTGGACGCTGTCATTTCTGCTGGGGCAGAGCCTTCCACCACCCCGTGCTCTGTGGGGCCCTCGGAGGGCGGATGGTGCCTCCCTGGGAACGCATCTGCTTCATGAGCTGGCTGGTTCAGAGCCCAAGCTCATCTCATGGACGCACTCACAGAATAATGTTCAGCCTGATACCTAGACAGTCAGGTGGTCCAGTCAGGTGGACACATGAAATTAATTGTCACAACTCCATGACATCTGTCTCATCCATCCTCTGCAGCAGGTAGCATCATTTCCTTTCAGCAGATTGGGAAATAGAGGTTCGAATACGTTAAGATTTTTGGGTGACAGAGTTGGGAAAGGGCAAGAGTAAAATTTGAACCCAGGGCTTTCTGATCCAGGCCAATTAGCGTGCTCCAATTACTGCACTCCATGTAAACCACCTTCCAGAACAGCACTCCGAGGCCTCTCCCTGCCCTGGCAGCCTTGTCTGGGGTATCACCTGCACCTTCCCCACCCTGTCTCTCAGCTCTGTGGAGCTCTGCAACCCTTTATTTAAAGTCTTGTTTCTTACTCTGCCTCCTCATGTAGAGATGCTGTTCTTATCCAGCCTTCCCAGGGGTACAGTCCTGTTTCATGATTTATTTTGTAATTAAACACATGAGGTATATCTTTGTGTCTCTATTTGTCAGGGTCCTCCAGAAAGAATCAATCAGACAGAAGGGCAGATGGATGGATGGGACGATGGATGGTTGGATGGATGGATGGATGGATGGATGGATGGATGGATGGATGGGTGGATGGATGGGTGGATGGATAGATGGGTGGGAGGATGGATGGATAGATGGGTGGGAGGATGGATGGATGGGAGAATGGATGGATGGATGGATGGTTGGATGGATGGATGGGTGGATGGATGGGAGGGTGGATGGATGGGTGGATGGATAGATGGGTGGGAGGATGGATGGATGGATGGATGGATGGGAGTATGGAAGGAAGGAAGATGGAGAGGAGGAGATGTTTTAGGGTAGTTGGTTGACATGATTATGGAGACTGAAGCCTCCTGACCGCATGGTATTTTCAGAAGGACCCATGTTGCTTGTGGAGGCCTCAGTCCAGAGATCAGTGAAGCTGTGGTATAACTCTCAGTCCAAGGCCAAAGATGTGAGGAGAAGTGGTGGACATTCTGGAATCTTTGGGTTGGGGACTCTGGAGTTCTGATGTCCAAGAGCAGAAGTGTGCACCCAGCTCCAGGAAAGGGGAGATGACCTTTTTATTCTGTCCCGGCCACCAGCTGACTGGGTGGTGCACCCCAGGCTGAGGGCAGATCCTCCTCACCTGTCTGCCCATGTGGTTCCAGTCTCCCCTGGAAATCTCACACACACCTGGAAGGGGCCTCATCAGGGCCCCAGGGAGTCCGTGGTCCACTCAGCCTGGCCCTGAGTTTAGCTATCACCTGCCTGTCAGTGCATCTGTCCCGACCTCTGCCACAGCTCTGAAAGGTAGGGGCTGTCCTTTCTGCATGACAGCCCACCACCACAGTGCCTGGGAAGTCACTGCAGGTCACACAGCTGACAGGAGCTGGGATGGGTCTGCCGTCTTTGGCCTTTACTCATCCTTCCAGCCATGAATCAGAATCCTCTAGATGACAAGGAGGAAAGACTTGTTACAGTACTATTCCACATGTGCATAAAAGAAGGAACTTAAACTCCTTTAAAAAATGACAAGCTAGGGCCGGGGATTCAGGTCAGTGGTTTTACTGCCTGCTGCGCAAGTGCGAGGACCTGAGTTCGATCCCCGGTACCAAAAAAAAAAAAAAAAAAAGTTGGAAAAATGACAAGCTTTAGGGCTTTTATAGCTGATTTACTATGGACAGAGAGAGTGTGAGGATTACTGAGAGTGTCATTACGATTTCCATTCTTGAACCAAAGGGCAGCTATCGAATACTGTCTGCCTGGCACGGGGCACTCCGAAAAACACTGGGTTTCCTTGCCAGGCTAGAAATCCACATCCCAGTGCTGCTAGATGCAGACACATAAATAAATGACAAAAGCATGTGCAGCATTCTCCAGGAGAATTAACTGCAAGAGTCCATGGAACACTAAGGAAGGACCCAGCACCTGCCCGTGTTGTTTGGTTATATTAGGAGAGTATGAAGTAAGGATCAGAAATCCCAGTTTTCAGTGGCTTCCAATAAAGTGCAAGGCTTGAACTTCTCACCTGAACATTCAGGAGTAGATAGCTCGGAGCATTGGCTTAAAAGTTACCAACGTCTAGCCTCCCCATTGTGGTCACAGAATAGCTGTCATGGTTTCAGTCGCTGCCTCTCAGTTCGTGACAGGTGGGTGGAATGAGAGGGGGATGTCAGCAGCTACATCAAAACCTTTTTATTGGGAAATCATGCTTTCCTGCGAGATTTTTGGGCAGTTTTGCATCGCATAGCCATGCCTAGCTGCAAGGGAGTCTGGAAAATCAAAGATTAGGATCGTGATGGTTGGCTTAGATCTTAAATAGCTGTTCATTCACAGGGGCAGAATACAGTGCAACTGCAGATCAAACAGCCTCTGTTAGGGATGAGGAATGGGAGGGGAGGGAGATGGGCTGTGGGCAGCCATCTACCCAGAGTTCAGGAAAGCTTTACAGATGAGGTGCGGTCCCATGTGTGACAAACAGACAGGAACATGATGCAAAAGGGTGGGGCGGGGTATTGTGGAAGTGGAGTCAGGACACAGCGGGAATACCTTCCACCAAGACATGGGCTGGGATTGGAGCTGGGGCCAGCTTGCAGCAGACTCAGCTGCAGGCCAAAGAGCGCTAGTGCTGTTCTGTGGTGACCAAGGGTCTTGGGTGGACGCCGGTTGTCCAGGGCGCACCACCCCCCATCACTGGGCAGAGACAGGAGCTGGGCTCCTACTCACTGGGCATAACACAAAGGCTCTGACTGCTCAGATCTGACTGGAAGCATGCCCGCCAGCGTTACAGCCGCTGTCCATCGCCTCACCCCTATCCTGGGGTCCTGTGCCTCCCTCTGCTGCCAGCGAGTGACACAGCTGCTCATCTGCCCCTGGCCATGCTGACCACCTCCGTCTTCCCAGATGATGTCTGAGTTTCTGGGACAGCAGTCGCCTTCTGTCGGTCTCTGTGTCTCCCACGCTGCAGGCTGCCTCAGTCTCCAGGGGCATCCTGGGTGCAGGGCAGTCACACGCAGCCCCCTGGTGCTGAGCAGCCTCTCTGCCTCCCTGTGGCCCCTGACCACCCCGCAGCCAGTGTGGGGAGGGCCCCTGTCATCAAGGAGAGGGAGGAGGCACAGATTCCCAGCCCCCCCCCGTCCGCTGGGGCTCTCCCACTTTCCGCCGTGTGACGTGGGGCAGTCTGCCACAACCTGCTCACAGGTGGCCAGAGCAGCGCTTGCAGCTCAGCCTCTGCCACCCACCTGTGAGCTGCAGAGGGAACGCTAAATCCAGACGCTGCTGAGGTCAGTCCCCTGCTCCCTGCTCACCAGCGCACAGAGACCTGTCTCGGGCAGGTTCTCAGCGAGCACCTGGCAGCCCTGGGTGTGAAAGCGTGTCAAATTCTCTGCCTCCTGCGTGCCGCACGCCGAGCCAGCACTGCCAGGTGACTCGGTCCCTCAGGGGCCCGGAAATGACGCTTCTCACCAGTCGACTGTAGGGATGAGGAGCCTCAGCAGTTCGAACCTAAGCCAGCTTCTCCGAGTCAGGAGGGGTTAGTGGAGAGCGGTGGCGGGAGCCAGGAGGGCCGTGTGAGTCTGGGAGCCCCTCTGTCCCACTCTGGGCCTGGGTTTCTTGGCACTTGCGCGGCGCCCCCAGGACCAGCTGCTGAGGGCTTCTGTGAACGCGTGCAGCTGGCTGATAAGGCGCAATGGCTGCTTCCAGTGCTGCTCTTCTGAGCCGCAAGTGCCTGAGCCGCTCGTGAAATCTGTTCCTCTCTGCGTCAAGCCCCGGTCAGTGCCCGACGCTGGGCAGTGCTCGCCATCCACACCTACTGAGTGGACGGGGTGCGTCAGGAGCGTGCAGGCAGGAGGGACCCGGACTAGGCTAGGCTTGACCAGGACCAGCGGGGGTCGCGGCCGCGCCTGGGTCCCTCGCCGCTAGAGAGCACTGAGCACAGGGAAACCTCAGCAGGTTGTTTCGGGATCCCGGTAGCAGTGTGTGTGACCTGTGCGCTGTTCGTACGTGTGTGTGCGAACTGTGCTAAGAGCCTGGGCCGGGACAGAGACCGCACTGGTTATTAAACCCAGAATTTACTTTAAAGTGGCAGTGGGCACAAGTGGGCACTGCATAGCTAAATAAAGCCAGAACAGCTGCAGGCCACAGTGGCTACACAGTCACAGGAGCGCAGGAGGAAGTAGGCGCCAGCGTGGGTCCCGGGCAGCATCAGGCAGCAGCTGTGGGCACAGCAAGGGGACAGGGGGTCGTGCATGTGGCTGCTGCTGAAGGAGGCGCCACAGCAGGATGGAGACCGGGCAGGTGAGGGCGCTTCAGTCCTCGTCCGTGTCCCCCTCCGCCCCGAGCGCAGCTCAGGCCGAGACAGGACTCGCAGGCCTGGCCTCCATGGCTTCCACCTGGCAAAGGTGGGCACCGTGAATTCCTCTGTCACCGATGGGGAAGCTGAGACACAGGCTTGCCCAGGGTCCAGTGACTGCACAGGACAGTCAGGGCCTGAGACTCCTGGGTCCGTGCCCCTCAGTCCCGTGGCCCTCACCCCCAGGTCATCCACTGGAACTCGCCCAAGAAGCTGCGGGTGAAGAACAAGCACGTGGAGTTCTTCCGCAACCTCTACCTGACCTTCCTGGAGTACGACGGCAACCTGCTGCGCCGGGAGCTCTTCGGGTGCCCCAGCGAGGCTGGCGTGGCCGACGCCAGCAACAAGGACGTGAGTGGCCCTGCAAGGCGGGGACAGGGCCGGGCTGGAGGGTTGGTGAGCACCTGGGGCGGAGCACCTGCGGGAGGCAGGTGAAGTCCCTGGGGCCAGGAACCCCACATCTGTGCCCCGGTCTCCTGGGGGACACGAGGGTCCCCTCAGGCCGGGCGCCCGTCACAGGGCGGCCAGCGTCTGCTCTACTTTCCGGGGCTTTGCTGCTAATTTTCCGCGTGTTGAGTCTCGTCTGACGCTCATGGAGGCCTCTTCCAGTTGGGGAATCGAGGCACGGAGAGGCTGAGCTTGGCGTGGGGTTGTGGGGCGGCTCTGAGCCTGCCCCTCCGCCCATGTGGCTCGGAAGGCCGCTCCCCCTCCGCGAGCTCCGTTTCCTCCCGCCAGAGCAGGTCTGGGTCTCCCTGGAGCCCTCTTGAGAGTAGGCCAGGAGCTGCATGAAAGCCCAGACCTAGAGGACCAGGGTTCTCTCTGCCTCTCCGCCCTCCGTGCTGCCGAAGGGCGGCGCTCAGAACCTATGTTTCTCGCCCTGGGGCCAGGCACTGCCTGCTAAGCCCGAGGTTCTGTAGGTCCCTGCCCTCGCTGGACAGGTAGCTTTTCTTTTTCCCATTAAGTTAATTGGTACATTTTCGGTATACAATACACTCACATTCATCATTGGGATCTTGTACCATTACATGAGTCTCTTGGTTCTCTTTTGTTTCCCCTTCCCCTGCTCTCCCTTCACCCCCTCCACCCTTCCCTATTTGCAAAGACCTTGTTTCCATTTTTTTCCTTTTCTCATATTTTTCTTTTCCCTTTTTTCCTTTCCCCTACTCTTCCCACTTCCCCTGCTCCTTTAGACCTTTTCTTCCTGT